AGTCAGAAGGAACCTGTCAAATGCCTCCACTGAGACACACTGAAGGATCACGTTCCCTCCTGAGGGCAGGACAGGGCTGGGCAGGGCTGAGAGGCTGGGTTTGCTGTAGGGTCCTAGGAAAGGAGGAGGCAGCGTGTTAAATGGGCTCACACCTCCCTCATGTCCCCCAGGGCTGGGCTCTGAGAGAGAGACACCCTGAGAGCAGACCCCCTTCCTGAGGGCAGAGCCTGAGGCTGGGACCCCTGAGTGTCCTCTCACCTGTCACCACCAGCTGCAGGGGGTCACTGTGCTCTGACGAGCCCGTGTGGCTGAGGTAGTTACAGGTATATCTCTCTGCATACTTTCCTGTAATGAGGAACTTAGCCCGGTCTCCAGACTCCAGTGATTTCTGTGTTTCCAAGTGCTGAAGACTGCCATCTGCATACAGACGGTACTCCTGAGCCTTCAAGCTCCCCTGACACCAGAGTGTCACAGAGCTCCCATAAAGGATCACACGGCCTGGCTCAGCCCAGAGGGTGGGTTTGGGGAGGGTCCCTAAAAGGAAACCAGAGGCTGCATTACAAAGATCTTCCCTCTCCCCCTCATCCCCAAGACCCTATCATTTTATCACCTCATCCCAGCACCTCTGTGCTCCCTCCTGAGCCCCAGGGATGAAGGAAGAAGAGGGACATGGAGCCTGGGGAGGACTCACCTGCTTTCACATGGGTCCTCTGGTCCAGACTCAGCCCTGGAAGATAGTTTCTATCAGGTATTTGCACCCGGACCTCTGAGCTGATTTCCTTCCTATCAGGCCCCATTCACTGAGCTGCCTGATACTGGGGAGTAAGACAGGCAGCCGCCTTTCCTACTCCCCCTCCCTGTGTCCACAACTGACCGAGGTAGAGAAGAACAGAGAGGATGGACATCATGGTGTCTGCACTGATGGCTCCTGCTCTGCAGGTGGAGGAGGTCTGGGCCTGAAGGAGAGACAAACACAGGATGTGGTGAGTCAGGAACTGCTGAGGCCTTCTGGGTTTTCACAGCTGAAGACCCACATCCAGGGGAGGGCACTGCCCTGTGACTGGCTCTGCATCTCCCCAGAATGAGGGCTTAAGGGGAGCCCAGTTTTCAGGGGATGGGTCAGCAATGTCTGAGATCTCACCTTATCCTCAGGATCTCATGTGTCTGCGTGTTTGACTCCTGCTCAGAGAGGGCGGGACCCAGGATCTGGTCCTGACTCGGCCCCTGAGTGTATGGCTCTGAACAGCCCAATGCAACACCTGACCACAGCTCTTGAGTGAGTTCATTTGTGAAAGATTCTGCTGAGCAATTTCCCAGTGGCCTCAGCATTTCCTCCACTCTCCCTGGCTCAAAGGTCCTGGTAGGTTCCCATCCTGCCGACCCTTCGTGCTTCATGCCTTTTTAATGTTCATTATTCAGTGTAAGTATTGGTACTATTCTATGGTTTGATGTGCATTTATTTCTTCAATAATTTATAAAACTCAGACAGTTCCGCAGACATGTACACATAAGGAACTGTTTGACATTAAAATTGGGTCTTCAAAGAACTGGTAGCCCAGAAAGAAGCTCACTACAGACTGATTCATATGCCTTTCAACATAATGATTATTGCTTGTCTCATTTTTGATTCTTATAAGTATATTTCCAGTAGGACATGATCTCACTCATCTGGGGGAAATGGTGAACAACATAGACTGATGAACAAGAACAGACCCAGAGATATGGAGCCATGGGTCAGACTGTTGGACCTCAAAGGAAGGGTGGGGATAAAAAGGAGAGATCAACCAAAGGACTTATGTGCATACATATGAACCTAACTAGTGGTCAAGGACAAAAGGGGCATGAGGGCATGAGTGGGGGGGGGGGGGGATAGGAATGGGGGTTTGAGGACAAATATGTGATACCTTAATCAATAAAGAAATTTAAAAAAAACAGACAAAAAAAAAACTCAGCACTTTTTAAAAAATATTTTTTTTCTAAATCCTCACCACAGCCATCATGTCCACCACCTTCCTGAGCTCTGAGCTCCACACCCTCCCTCCCGTCTCCAGATCACCTTCCACGTCGACCCTTGGCCCTCCCTGTCAGAAGCTGTTTATGCCTAAATCCCTTCCATGGTCTTCACTGTACTCAGTGTGAGTCCAGTCTCTTCCTCTGAGCTCAAGGCTATTCATGATCATCCAGATGTGACCCTCTCACCTCAGCTCTCACCTCTGCTTCCCTCAGACAGATGGGTATAGCTGCCTATGGACACACACACACTCCTAAACTCTCTCTCTCTCTCTCTCTCTGTCTCTCTCTTACACACACACACACACACACTCTCTCTCTCTCTCTCTCTCTTTCTCTCCTCTCTCTCTCTCTCTCTCTCTCTCTCTCTCTCTCTCTCTCTCACACACACACACACACACACACACACACACACCGGCTCTCTCTCTCTCTCTCTCTCTCTCTCTCTCTCTCTCTCTCTCTCTCTCTCTTTCTCTCTCTCACCGGCTCACACACAGTCATGTCTATACACTCTAACACACATGCGCGTGCACTCTCATTACTAGTCACATAACTCTCACAGACATATATGCTCACAAGCATACACACACATTCACACATATGTAGGCAGTCCACTAATACACCAACACATATACGCTCAAACACTCACATGCTATACATTCCCATGTACACACTTATACACATATATAGGCCAGGAAAACTCAAACACACACATTATACACACTAACACCTTAAAACACAGACATACACCTTCACACACATACACACAAATCACTCTCCAACATTCACATATACATTCATACACCCCACCCACATATATACTCACACACACACACACACACATTCACACACACACTCACAAACACACATTTTTTTTAAATTTTCATTTCATAGGTTTGATGTTAATTGTTACATTATTGTTTAATCTAAAACATTCACTTCTGTTTTGATTCATACATTAATTATTGCAAAGTCTCTTGCTTTTTCCCCAAAATGCAGGGAATACGTTTTTGAAATAAATATACGTGTGTTTTTTTCTGTCTAAGAGGTTTGGAGAGGAGGCAGCTCTGTTCAGATGGGCTCAGGGGACCCCATGAGGAGGCACAATGTGGTCCTCACCAGGGTTGTGTGTGTCAGGGAGGGGAGGAGGTTCACTGGGATGAGTTTGGCTGGAGGAGGCGTTGGCCTCACTGGGACTGGAGAGTGTAGCTCGGCCTGATCCTCAGCAGCATGCACTGCCAGATAGAGATCCTGGATGAGGCTGGAGTCAGGGGGGAATCACAGACAGGCTTTGTGCAGGGGATGGTCGGTGACAGGGACATGTGGGGCCATGAGAATGAAACACCTGAGCCCACAGTGAGACCAGAGGAAGCTGATGTGGTCACACCAACGAGCTGTCCTGGGCCTTCACCTGAATTTGTCTATGGGGAGAACTGGGTCACAGAAAGGAGAACCCTAAGCCAGAACTGTGGGATTGGTTCAGTGTGTGAGGGGGAGGAAGAGGAGGATGGAGGGCTCCTCCTCTCTCCATCTTGGCTGCCAGCAGGAGCCAATGGGGCGGGGCCAGGGTTGCTGACCCCAAGAGGAACAGGAGGCCTGGGGGATGTCACAACACTGTCAATCACCCACAGAGGCAACCAGCACCCTCCTGCTTCTCCCTATCCCTTCCTCCCTCTGACTTCCTGGTTTCTGTGAGCAGAGCTCCTACTCTCCATCAAACCTTTGTAGTCCTTTCTGTCTCCTCACCACCTCTTGTCCCCCAGACTGTCCCTCTTTGTCTAATGTTGTTTAGTCCATCTCCATGCTTTGGGTAGAAGACTGCGTGGAAGACAATTTCTAGATTGTAATCTAAGACGTGGTGACACATCTAATGAGAGTCTACTTTGAGCCAGTCTCTTTCCCTCTCTCTCTTTGCCAGTTGGTCAAAATTGTGAAACCTCACTTCAGAGAGTTGTTATGAGGATCGGCAGTGCCTGAGACATGAAGGACCCCACTCTGATGTCATTTTCTTTTTTTTAAAAAATATACATATATTTTGCCGAAGCCGGTTTGGCTCAGTGGTAGAGCGTCGGTCTGCGGACTGAAAGGTCCCAGGTTCGATTCCGGTCAAGAGCATGTACATTAGTTGTGGGCACATCCCCGGTAGGGGGTGTGCAAGAGGCAGCTGGTTGATATTTCTCTCTCATCGACGTTTCTGGCTCTCTGTATTTCTCCCTTCCTCTCTGTAAAAAATCAATAATATATATATATATATATATATATATATATATATATATATATATATATATATATATTGATTTCAGAGGGAGAGACAGAAGCATCAATAATGAGAGAGAATCATTATTTGGGCACCTCCTGCTAACCCCACACTGGGTATGGAGCCTACAAACCAGGCATGGAATCCTGGAATCCAACCTTGACCTCCTGGTTCATAGGTCAATGCTCAAACACTGAGCCATGCCGGCTGGTCATCTGGTGTCATTTTCTGACCTGATGAAGGCATGTGTATGAGAGACATGTGGTAGGAAGGGCTGTGTAGAAGCCGCATGTGTATCTCCCAAGCCTAAAAGGTAAATCGGAAACTGTAGTTCAGGCTTGGTTGAATGGCAGTTGAGAGCAGACAAAAGGATGCAGGGATGGTGGGGCTCATCCTGGATCCTAGACTCAGCCCAAGTCAGGAGTGAAGGTGGAAATGTAATGAGTGGGTTTGTCCCTAAGCACTAAGGCACTTAGGGCACCTCTGACCTGGTGGGAGTCCTACTCCCATAAAACTCCACGGACACCAGTGGGGCAACCTCCAAGGTGTAAGGGAGCTACAGGGAACCATGCGCGTTTCACTTGCATTTATTTTGATTAAAGCAACAGTCACATAATGTACAATTGAGCGTTTAAAATATGAAATTTACTACAATGCAGTAAATACAGAACGTCACAATGACAATGTCTATCTAGTTTTGATAAGTTTTTATAGCCAACCCCAGAAACAGTCCATCTTCCCTCTGCCTTCCTGGTCAATCCCAGACAAACCCATCAGATTTCTGTTTCTATGGATTTCCTTCTCCTGGACATTTTGCATAAAGGGAATCACACAAAACCTGATTCCAGTTTGTATCTGGTTTCTGTCACTGAGCTGCATTATTTTGACCTTCACACACAATGTACCAGGTACCCGTCCTTTGTTCTTTATGGTTTAAAAATCCCAGGGTTGTGAAGATCCTTCATTTCGTTGGGATGGATGTGACCCAGTATGAAGGGGTGTATAGATGTGATTCCAAACCAGTCATGTGGGACAGATTCTCATGTCACAGGGTGAGAAGGGCAGTGGAGGAGAGTCAGAGAGGTCAGGGAAGGAGGGAGAGCACCCCAGGTGGATGGAGGAGGCATCCTCTACAGGAACATGGCCCACATTCTCCTGCACCCAATCCTCACCTTCCACATCTTCTCTCCTGAACGTTCTCAGCAGACAGTTTCCCCAACTGTGGTCCATATTCTCTTTCAGCACCTCATGGGGTCATAAGATGGGTTCCAGGGCTTTCCCACTCTGAATGATGCATTGTTCGCTCTGTGTTCTCATCCTGGCTGCAACAGGGGTCCTTCTGGTGTCATTTCGAGCCTGAAATAGCAGCACCGCAATGGCCACGAGGATCAATCCAGCCACGCCCATCCGGATGAGATTCTCCACTGTGTAGTCTTTGGGGTGGAAAGTAGAAATTGTAGACAAAGTGTTCACAGATGTCAGAGCAGAACCGAGAAATCCCAGGACCAGGGATCTCAACACAGGACACCCACCTCTCCTTCACAGGACATGACCCTTTACCCCTCCATCCCCATCCCCATAAGTGAGAGCTTCTCCCATCATTGATTTTGGGTTTCACCTATTTTGTGGTGGGCTGATGGTGTCAATTGCTCCTGAAAATTATGAAAAGAGGGTGTATGTGAGGACTTGAGGAGAGGTGAACCTTCCTTCAAGGTTCTGTGCTCTCAGAGGCCTCAATTTTCAGGTCATAAATTTTACACAGTGCCTTATTGAGCCCTTTATCTACACTGACAGGTTCCCTGGTCTCCTCATTGGATTATTATTAGTCTGCCTTGGTCTGTGAATTTGGAACCTGCATTGAGCCTCTTTGCAGTAGAGTTTGGCTGCCCACCATAGCTCAGTATCAATAAGAAAAGTGGTTTCAATAGAGAAATTAAGTGCTATTGTTCAGTGTTTTGTCTGCAATATAAGACCTCATAATAATATTGTATTTCCCTATGGAATATGTTCCCTGAGGAACAAGAATCCATGGGTGAGGGGTTAGAATCAGGGTCTCTGCAATTTTTGTATTTATTTTCTTACTCTTTGTTTGTGTTGTTATTGGTGAAGGGTTTTTTAGTTTTGCTTTGTTTTTCTTGTTTTGTCTGTCAGCACCTGCACAGCTATTTGCACCATGTTGTTGGAGGTTAGCCTCAAGGTGAGCCTCCCTGAGGGTTGATCCTACCCACCAATGGGCCAACAGCAAACAAGACCCAATTACAATAGGAGGGACTACATAATACACACATGGCACATTCCTAGAACATATAGCTCAGAGATCCAAGGAGACTGCCCCTGAGAACCATGGGATACCTACGGCATAAGGTTGGGGAGTCACAGCTGATCTCTCTAATAGAGTGTTTCCCAAACTCTTGACATATGTGTACCCTTTCTATAATTTTCGTAACACTGAGTACCCCTCGTACTCATGAAAACATAGAATTAGATGCAGCTAAGCACAGTGCAGTGCATATCCCCACCAAACTCCGGTGCAACGCGTACCCCCACCAAACTCTTCCCTTACCTCTGGGGGTAGGTGTACCACACTTTGGGAAACACTGATCTAATACATAGAAGCAAACACAAAGAGACAGATAAAATAGGAGAGACTAAGAAACAATCCACTTATTAAAGAAAAGGAGCAATCTTCAGGGAAAATTGAGCTAAATAAAATGGAGGTAAGCAATGTATCAGATATAAAGTGCAAAGTAATGGTTATAAGGATTTTCAAGGAACCTAATAAAAATTACAAGGAACTTAGTGGGAACTACAATGGCATAAGAGAACAAATAGAAACCAATTATAAGAACCAGTATGAAATGAGGAAAAACACATCTGATGTTAAGAATACACTGGAAGAAATCAAAAGTAGAGAGAATGAGGAAATTCAAACAGTGATTTATTTGGATGACAAAGTAGGAAAAAAACACCTAATTAGAGCAGCAAAATAGAAATGGTAGTTTAAGATAACTTTGGGGAAATGTCAAATGAAACAACATTCACATCACAGGAATACAAGAAGAAAAGGTGCTAAAATCTTCAACAAAATATTAGCAAATCAGATCCAGAAATAAATTTAAAAGATCCTACACCATGACCAAGTAGCTCTGTTTCTGTAGATGCAAGGATGGGTTCAATGTTCACAAATCAATAAATATGATCACCACAGAAACAACATGAAGGATAAAAATCACATGATCATATCAATAGACTCAGAAAAAGAATTCAACAAAATCTAGCACCCATTAAGTGATAAAAAAAACTCTCAGTATAGTGGAATCTAATGAACGAAATAAACTGACAAACAAAATAGGTCCAGAGGTATGGACACATGGAACAGACTGACAGATCTCAGTGGGGGTCAGGGGAGGTGAGGGAGGGAGGCACAGGAAGAGATTAACCAAAGAACATATATGCATATATGCATAACCCACAGGCATAGATATAGTATGGCAAAGGCCTGAGGTAGGGTGGGTGTTGGGTGGAGGGAGCCAAAAAGGGAGAAAATATGGGGATATCTGTAATATTGTCAAAATAAAAAGGAGAGAAAAATTAAGATGTAAACCAAAAAAGAAAAAGTTGTCTCAATAGAGAAATTGAGTGCTATTTCCAGTGTTTTGTCTGAAATGCAAGATCACAACATCTTATTTCCCCATGGCTGAGAGATCCCCCTTATTCAAAACCTGGGGAGCAGGAATCCATGGGTGAGCATTAGTGTTAGGGGGTCTAGAACCTATTGTTTGGTGGAGCCCCAGGGTCTCATTGAAGGTCCCTGAGCTGACTGAGCATAGAGAGAAGTGTGTCAAGCTCTAACCAGTTTGGTTCAGTGGATAGAGCATTGGCCAGTGAACTGAAAGGTCCCAGGTTCAAGCCCCCTGTAAGGGACTTGCAGGAGGCTACCGATCCATGATTCTCTCTCATCGTGGATGTTTCTATCACTCTCTCCCTCTTCCTTCCTTTCTGAAATCAATAAAAATATATTTTTTAATAAAGAAAAGGAAGAAGTGAGTCAAGGACCCCTCGCCTAAGACCAGGAGCTCCAGGAGGCTCACTGGGGAGTGAGAGCAGATAGGGGGAGGTGCTGCGTGAGTTCTAGCACCTGTAGGTCCTTCCCCCTTCTCTCTCTCCCCCCTCCCCTCTCCCCGCCCTCATGGGCTGAGGTCACAGGACTCATGGAGAACTCTGCCTGGTACTGGCGAGCTGAAAACTTTTATTTGAAATCAGGAGATTGCCCCCTCCTTGGACAGAAGGAAAGTGTCCCTCGATCTCTATGACTGACAGAAGGGCCACGTTCTCTCCTAAGTTGCCTGGTTGCATTGATAAGGAGGGGACTGTCAGGTATGCATCCTAGAGAGAGGGAGGAAGGTGAGAGCTGCCTGCCCACATCATTCTGCCCTGGGAGTCACCAGGCCTCTCTGAGGACCCTCCTCTCTGTCTGTCTCTGTTTTCCCTGAGTCTATTCCTCTTTCTCCCTTTCCATGACTCATGCTGTCTCCTTCCTTGGAGAGCCCAAAGCCCTTGTCCTGGCCGTCATCACCTGAGACACCCCCCCCATCAGCCCAGCCTGTGCAGAGTCTGGGTATCTTACTGAAGCCACTGGCTCCTCAACAACCATACAGATGTCAACGGGGTCACTGGGGGCCAACCGCTCAGAGGAGAGCTTGTATACACTGCAGCATCTGTATCAGCCCCTGTGGAAGTGGGCCTGAGAGAACCCAGTCTGGGGCTGCAGGACAAGGCTCTGGAGGAGGTCCTGTGCCCCTTCCTTGTGCAGAGCAAATCTGTCATAGCCGACATCAGAGCGACACTGGAGGGTCAGGCTCTGTCCAGAGGCCATGATGGGGCCTTGCTGGCTCAGGAGGGAGGGCTTCCCAGATTCAGGGGCTGCCCCTCCCATAAACCCCTTCTCCTGGCCTAGCCCATAGGTGTCACCGTGTCTTTCAGACACTGTGTCTCTGATCAAGAAGCCCCGGATCTTGCCTTGCCCCACCCTCTCACAGGGAGCTCCCCTCTGAGCAAAGATATCAAAACATGGATACGATAGGGATGGGAATATCTCACCTAAGATCAGGAGTTCCAGGGTGTCACTGGGGTGTGACCACACCTGGGGCACCTTCTTGTAGCAGCCATAGCATCTGAATGTCCACCTGTGGCTGGCGGTCACGGTGCCCACAGGGAACAGGGCCTGGGCCTGCCCATTGGGCTGTGGCTGAGAGTCCAGGGACCAGGAGAGCCTGTGATCTCCTTCCTTAGTCAGGATGAACCCATCAAATCGCTGCTCTGAGACACACTGGAGGATCATGTTCCCTCCTGAGGACACAATAGGGCCGGGCAGGGCTGAGAGGCTGGGTTTGCTGTAGAGTCCTAGGAGAGGAGGAGGCGGCATGTTAAATGGGCTCACACCTTCCTCATGTCCCCCAGAGCTGGGCTGTGAGAGGGAGACACCCTGAGAGCAGATCCCCTTCCTGAGGGCAGAGCCTGAGGCTGGGACCCCTGAGTGTCCTCTCACCTGTCACCACCAGCTCCAGGAAGTCGCTGGACTCTGACCAGCCGGTGGGGCTGCGGTAGTAACAGTAGTATATCCCTGCAGAATCCTGGTTCATCTGTTTGATGGACAACTTGGCCCTGTACGTGGGCTCCCATGGGGTCTGCATGTTCCAAAGCAAACGTTTTCTTTCCTTATACAGATAGAACGTTTTGGCATCCAGTGTCCCCTGACACCAGAGGGTCACGGGGCTCCCATATGGGATCACAGAGCCTGGCTCAGCCCAGAGGGTGGGTTTGGAGAGGGTCCCTGGAAGGAAACAAGACTCTGCATTACAAAGACCTTCACCTCCCCATCCCACCCCCTCATCTCCCATATCAGCCCTATATAGTCTCATTGTATTACCTCATCCCAGGACCTCTTTGCTCCCTTCTGAGCCCCAGCGTATGACATAAGAGGTGGGACATGGAGCCTGGGGAGGACTCACCTGCCTGCACACTGGTCCCTTGGTCCAGACTCAACCCTTGATCAGAGTCCCCATCCGTGTTTTCCACCCGGATGACTGAGCTGATTTTCTTCCAATCAGGGCCCCATCCACTTGAGCTGCCTGAGTCTGAGGTTCCACAAGAACAAGGGGGAATTTCCTGCCCGTCTCCTCCTGCTGTCACTCTCCACAAGTGACCGAGGCAGAGAAGAGCAGAGAGGATAGACATCATTGGATCTGAGGGCTCCTGCTCTGCAGATGGAGGAGACCTGCGCCTGTAGGAACAAGACACACAGGATGTGGTCAGTCAGGGGCTGCTGCTGCTGCCTTTCTGGGTTTTCACAGCTTTGGACTTACAGCCAGAGAACAGCCCCGCCCTGGACCTGGTTCTGCGTCTTCCCAGAATGAGGGCTCAGGGGGAGTCCGGGCTCTAGGGAGGCAGCTCAGCAGTATCTGAGATCTCACCTGTTCCTCAGAGTCTCATCTGTCTGCCAGTCTGACTGATCTGGAGACTTCCTTCTGCTCCTTTGGATGAGGCGTCTCTGCTTTTCAATCTCTCAAACCGCCACCGTCTCCATCTGCGTTGAATGGCTGCTTTCGTTTCCTCCGTCTCTCGGTCAGGAAGAATTCTCACCATCTTTGAGGGGAAGGCGTTGGCATTGCTGAGAAGTCAAGGGAGGAAGTGGCTGGCTCAAGTGTCTTCCAACCACTCAGCTGGTAGTGCCACAGCTGATACTGAATGTGCCTGTGTGTGTCACTGCCTTTGAGCAAGACTTTCAGGAAAATCATTCCTGTCTGAACCCTGAAGAGTCTCCATATTTTAAAGAGTAGAGTGATACCCGGCCTCAAAGGTACTCTGAAGGGACAGAAATGACGCAGATGATTGGCCCCCAGGACATGGAGAGATCCCGTGCTCACAGAGACAGTCAGGTGGAACCTGTGTGAGACGTAGGACCTACATCCCATGGGATCAGATGTATCTGCACAGCTCCAGGTTCCTCCCTCCCCATCCCTGGACTCACTGTCCTGAGGCCCCCTTCGTGCCCCCCGTCACCAAGGCAGGGAGGGAGGTCACCTTCACATACCCCAAGGCAGCCGATACATCCATCTCCTTCCTGAGCTCTGAGCTCCAAACCCTCACTCCCCTCTCCAGATCACCTTCCACATAGGTATCTAACCTCATTTCAGAATCTGTCCATTTTCTGCTCAAAATCATTCCATGTTCTCACTGAACTTAGGATAAATCCAGGCTCTTCTTTCTGAACTGAAGGGTGTTCATGATCATCCAGATGGGACTCTCCAGCCTCAGCTCTCACCTCTGTTTCCATCCAATCAGACAGTCCAGTTACCCAATGAGCGCATGCGCAAACACACACACACACACACACACACACACACACTCACAATATACACACTCATTAACACACACACTCACAAACACACACACTCATTAAACACATTCTCACAAACTCTCACACTCACATGCACACATGCACAGACACATAACACAAAAACACGTACATACACATTCACACAGCCACAAATACACATACATACACACACTCACACACATACACACTCACATTCATACATGCACACTCATACACAATTGCACCCATACACACTGACACTTAACACAGACATACACACTCACACATACACACATTCACACACAATCTCATATAATTCACAATCACACGCTCACACTCACACACATTCACATACAATGGGCCATTTTTAACCCTCCCATTCTTTCCCGTATCTAACTTTTAAGGCCATGTGGACCTCACAAATCCCTCCCACAACCCCCAGCTTGGACTAGAAGGAACACTGAGACTTCTGGTTTCCCTTCTCTACATGTGTTTGTGACTGACCAAGGGTAGGTGAAGGGTACAAGAAAAATCCATATAAGCCACTTATGGAACAGCACTTTATTTAGTATATTATCATTTAACTAGAGGCCCAATGCATAAAATTTGTGTATGAGGTGGGAAAGAGAGAGTCTTTCAGCCTGGCCTGTACCCTCTCCAATCCAGAACCCCTCGGGGGATATCCAACTGCCAGTTCATGGGCAGTTAGGCATCCCTCTCCCAATCTAGGACCACTGACCCGTAACTGCTCACCTGCCTGCCTGCGTGGTCACCCCTAACTGCTCTCCCCTGCCAAGCTGATCATCTAACTGCTCTCCCCTGATGACCTGATTGGCCCTAACTGCTCTCCCCTGCTGGCCTCTGCCTCGATCCCCAACACTGTGGCTTTGCCCGGAAGGATGTCTGGAAGGATGTCTGGAAGACGTCCAGTCTAATTAGCATATTACCCTTTTATTAGTATAGATTACTGTTGGTGTTTTATTTACAAATATTGCACTTCTCTCATTTATTTGTAATATGTGGTACATAGGATTTTATAAGATGATCTGACCAAACAGATCATCTTATAAAATCCAAACAGATCATCTTATAAAATCCAAACAGATCATCTTATAAAATCCTATGTACCACAAGGATGTATAAGTTTGTTTCTTATACATTTCTTTTCTGTTAAAGATATCATGCCATTACCACACCCATGACCAGCCACCACCTCCCTCTCTCTTCCTCCCTTTCAGACAGTCTGTATGTGTCCAGGGGCTCTAGAATGTTCTTTCCTCTCAATATCACTCCACCTCTTAGGTCTCCACCTACTCACACAGTCGTTCCTTCAAACCCAGTTGTTCTCATACTTTTTCAATTTCTCCTTTGTCAACAGTGAATTACAACATTAGCCTTAGAATGCCTGAGTCTACTCAAATACAGGAAATGGGTCTCCTGGGTCACGGATGTATTTCTGTTCTTGGTACACATACTCGGCAGGCAGTAGGTGAGCAGTAAATACTTGTTTATGGACAAGTCAAAGGCAGAAAGAGAATTCCCTTTGGGGGAGGCTGAGGACACAGGCAGTGAGCTACAGGTAGAGCCAGCCTGTTGAGGGTGGGCTCAGGGTGGGAACCTGGGTCCTGCTTTCTCTGAGCAGGACTTCCAAACCAGGCAGAGGGCCCTAGGAATCAGAAGTGACCCCAGATCTGGGCTGAGAGTTTCCAGTGGCCTCATCATGGAAACACTCACACCCAGGCCCAGGGTGGGGCAGTCAGCTTGCTGTAGGTTCACAGCTCTGAGGGCCCGGAAGGACAGCAGCAGCTCCTGACCCACCACATCCTGTGCATCTCTGTCCTTCAGGCCCAGGCCTCCTCCATCTGCAGAGCAAGAGCCCTCAGAGCAGACACCAGATGTCCATCCTCTCTGCTCTTCTCTGCCTCGGTCAGTTGTGGACACATGGAGAGGGGGAGTGGGAGGGGCAGCTGCGCCCTCTTGTTCATGGGGAACCTTAGCCTCAGGCAGCTGGAGTGGACGGGACCTGATGGGAACGGAATCAACTCAGACATCCGGGTGCCAATCTCTCACAGGGACTCTCTTCCAGGGCTGAGTCTGGACCAGATCATCCACGTGAAGGCAGGTGAGTCCTCCCCAAGCTCCATGTCCCTCCTCTTCCTTCACCCCCGGGGCTCAGAAGGGAGCACAGAGGTGATGGGATGAGGTGATAAGCCAAGAGAGTCTTGGGCTGAGCTGGGATATGAGGAGTTAGGAATGTCTTTGTAATGTAGCCTTTGGTTTCCTTCCAGGGACCCTCTCCAAACCCACCCTCTGGGCTGAGCCAGGCCCTGTGATCCCTTATGGGAGCCCTGTGACCCTCTGGTGTCAGGGGACCCTGGAAGCCCAGGAGTTCTGTATGTATAAACAACAAAAGCGTGTGCTTTGGAAAACACAGACTAAGTGGAATCCCCGAGACAAGGTCAAGTTCTCCATCACACGCATGACAGAGCATGATGCAGGGAGATACTACTGTTACTATATCAGATTCACAGGCTGGTCAGACCCCAGTGACTCTCTGCATCTGGTGGTGACAGGTGAGAGGACGCTCAGAGGTCCCAGCCTCAGGCTCTGCCCTCAGGAAGGGGGTCTGCTCTCGGGGAGTCTCCCACTCACAGCCCAGCCCTGGGGAAATGAGGGAGGTGTGAGCCCCATTTAACACGCTGCCTCCTCCTCTCCTAGGATCCTTCAACAAACCCAGCCTCTCAGCCCTGCCCAGCCCTGTTGTGCCCTCAGGAGGGCACGTGACTCTCCAGTGTGGCTCAGGGCAGGGGTTTGGCAGGTTCCTTCTGACTAAGGAAGGAGATCACAGGTTCTACAAGCATCTGGACTCACAATCACAGCCCAGTGGGCGGTCCCAGGCCATGTTCCCTGTTGGCCCCATAACACCCATTCATAGGTGGACGTTCAGATGCTATGGCTATTACAGGGACAGGCCCCATATGTGGTCACACCCCAGTGACCCTCTGGAGCTCTTGGTCTCAGGTGAGTCCCATTATTGTCTCATCCATGGATTGAGGCACCAGACACATTATTGGCATCTTTGCTGTGAGGGGATTGGTGAGGTGAGGGGAGTAGAGGGGTCTATGGATCAGAGACACATAGAGATACAGTGAGACCTGGGATACAGGCCAGGAGAAGGGGATTATGGGAGGAGCAGCCCCTGTCATTCATGTCTGGTCTCCGTAGGTGAGTCTGGGAAGCCCTCTCTCCTGACCAAGCAGGGCCCCATCGTGGCCTCTGGACAGAACCTGACCCTCCAGTGTCGCTCTGATGTCGGCTATGACAGATTCGCTCTGCACAAGGAGGGGGGACAGGACCTCCTGCAGAGCCTTGTCCTGCAGCCCCAGGCTGGGCTCTCTCAGGCCCACTTCCCCCTGGACACTGAGAGCAGCTCCCATGGAGGCCGGTACAGATGCTACGGTGGATACAACCTCTCCTCTGAGTGGTCAGCCCCCAGCGACCCCCTGGACATCCTGGTGGCAGGTAAGGAGCCAGTGGATTCAGTCAGGGATCCAGAGTCTGTACAGGCCCTGCTGGGGGTCTCAAGTGGTGAGGCCAGAATGAGAGTGCAGGGCCCCAGGGAGGAAGGGAGACAGAGAGAGAAAGACCGGGGGGGCAGGGGTGTGTGAGGGGGAGACTCAAAGAAACCAAAACAAAAAAGAGAAGGGTCCTCAGAAAGAGGCCTAGTGTCTCTCAGGGCAGAACAAGGTGGGCAGGCAGCCCTCACCCTCTCTCCCTCCCTCCCTCTCTCTAGGACACCTGCCTGACAGACCATCTCTATCAGTGGTGGTACACATAGGCCCCAGGGTGGCATCTAAAGGAACGGTGATCCTACGGTGTCAGTCACAGAGCTCAAGGGACACTTTCCTTCTGTCCAAGGAGGGGACAGCTGATCCCCCCCTGCATCTGAGATCAAAGCGCCAAGCTCGGCCGTTCCAGGCAGAGTTCTCCTTGAGTCCTGTGACCTTAGCCAATGGGGGTACCTACAGGTGCTACAGCTCAAACAGCTCCTCCGCCTTCCTGTTGTCACACCCCAGTGAGCCCCTGGAGCTCCTGGTCTCAGGTGAGGGTCCCTGACCCTGCCTGCTGAGCTGTCAGCCCAGGGTCCTGTCCCCAGAAGGAATATGGGCTAATAGAGAGGGAGGGGATCTAGAGATGGTCACCCAGAGGACATATTCCCCACAGACACCCTGCTACCTTTGTACATCCCTGCCCTTTACCTGGGTCTTACAGGGGTCCTCAAACTTTTTAAAGTGGGGGCCAGATCACAGTCCCTCAGAGAGCTGGAGGGCCGGACTATATGAACTACTAATTCCTACTGTAACACCTGGGCTGCGCTCACTGCCCAAAAAACCTGGCGGGCCGGATCAGACTCCTCTGCGGGCCGCATGTGGCCCGCGGGCCGTAGTTTGAAGACGCCTGAAGAAGGTACCAGGTGGGAAGCAGTTGGGCCCTGACTGGGCCACAGCACTGATGTAGAAGAGAAACCTGAGTTTTGAGGGGCCCAGAGTCCCCAGATCCTCCCCTCCTTCTGTCCTCATGCTGGACCTTCTAAGGACCCTGCCCCCTCCCACACACATACACACACACACCTCCACAGGGCCCCTGCCCACAGCTCATGAGTTACTGGGTTATTTTGCTCTGAGGGAGCTCAGAGGCCCTACTCTGAGTACAGACCAGGCAGAGAGTCCCAGGAGTTAGAAGAGACCCCAGATCTGGGTGGAGGGTCTCCAGGGGCGCCTGGCATCATCCGTGTCCTCATCATGGAACAACCTATGGGCAGTTCTGAGTCTCTCAGGGGATCCAGTGCCCCCTCAGATCTCAAGAACAAACAGGCTGAGTCCTAGGAGAGCTGGGACTCAGGGAGAGATTTCATGGGACTACAGGGGGGCAGGGGCTCAAGGATTCACTCCTTCTCAGCCATAGCGTCAGGCCTGCAGAGGAGTGAGTGAGGGTGAGGACAGGAGGGGTGGTCATGGCAGAGGGAGACATTGGGGCTCAGGATGAGGAGGAGAAGCCGGGCTCAAGTGGGAAGAAGGCAGCACCAAACCCTCATACTTTATCCTGATCCCCAGGAGCCTCTGATGATCCCTCCCTCCACACCATGGCATTGGGCCCTCAGATGGGTAAGTGAGGGTTTCTGTGGGGAGGTGGTGTCTCCATGGGGAACAGAGGCTGAGTCATGTGGGGGTTCAGGAGTTGGCTTGGACATGCCTTTCTGTCCAAGGAGGGTCAGTCCAAGGTGTAAAAGGAGAGAATTGTGACTCAGAGCTTACGTTTCCTGTCAGTGCTGCATCTGAGCTCCTGGAAGAGGGGCCTCACAGTGAACCCACAGGATGTGACATTATTGGGCCTGTACCCTTCGTAGCAGTAACTATGGTTATAATACAAAGTCAGAGACATAAGGAGCCGGCTGAGGTGGAGGAACTACCCCTTCACTCCTTCACTTTCCTGATCTCAAGTCACAATGGAGCCCCAGATGTTCCTCTTTGCATCCTAGTTACATATAAGACAAGACACCAAAGATGCTCATCTCAAGGGATTGCGATGGGCATTATTAGTTGGGGGACTCCTTGGAGATCAGAGGAGAGATGACAAGCATTCCCACACCTCCTCAGCACTCACTGTGTGTGTTTGGTTCTCAGGAGCAGCTGGTCTCCTGGGACCATCACAGAACAAGTCAGACTCCAAAGCAGGTGAGTGTGGGACATGGTCAGTGATGGGGCTGAGTGCAGAGGGTCACATCCAGACAGTGGAAGTCAGGTGACCTGGATACACCTCCAGGGGATGCTGGGCTGGTTCGATATTGCTCTGACCTCTGTGACCTCTCTGTCCACAATCTCCAGCCTCAACCCCCCAAGACTACACCGTGGGGAATATCATCCGGATGGGCGTGGCTGGCTTGGTCCTGGTGGTCGTTGGGGTGTTGCTGTTTCAGAACTGGCAGCCGGGACGGAAACCAAAAGACAACAAACCCACCACGCAGCGAGGCAGAACTTTGGAAATGGATCTGATGCTCCCAAGAGGTTCTGGAGGATCACTGGGTCCTAAGGCAGATCCATTTTAATTGTTTTGAGAAAAGTCCATATTGATTTCCACAGTGGCTGCACCAGTCTGCATTCCCACCAGCAGCGCACCAGGGTTCCCTTTTCCCTACATCCTCACCAGCACTTGTTGTTCATTGATGTATTGATGGTAGTCATTCTGGCAGGTGTAAGGTTGTACCTCGTTGTTGTTTTACTGTGCATGTCTGGTGATTTGTGACGTTGAGCATTTTTTTTTTATTTTATTGATTTTTTACAGAAAGGAAGAGAGAGAGAGATACAGAGCTAGAAACGTCGATGAGAGAGAAACATCGGCCAGCTGCCTCTTGCACACCCCGTACAGGGGATGTGCCCACAACCAATGTACATGCCCTTGACCGGAATCCAACCCGGGACCTTTCAGTCCGCAGACCGACGCTCTACCACTAAGCCACACCGGTTTCGGCGACGTTGAGCATTTTTTCATATGTCTCTTGGCCATGTGTATGTCCTCTTTGGATACCTGTCTATTCAGGCCCTCTGTCCATGTTTTATTTGGATTATTTATCTTCCTTTTTGCTGAGTCATAGAAGAACTTTATGCATTTTGGAAATTAACCCCTTATCAGACATGTCATCAGCAAATAGCTTCTCCCATACAGTGGGATCCCTCTTCATTTTTTATGCCGGTTTCCTTTGCTGTGCAGAAGTCTCTTAGTTTGCTGTTGCCCCATTTGTTTTTCTTTTTCCCTTTGTTTCGAGAAAGAAACCAGAAACACCAATCAGAAAGAATATATGCACCCCCTTGTTCATAACAGCGTTATTTACAACTACCCAAGTGCCCCTCAATAGATGAGTGGATAAAAAAAAGCTGTGATACATTTACACAATGGAATGTCATACAGCTGTAAAATGAAGGAAGGAAGGAAGGAAGGAAGGAAGGAAGGAAGGAAGGAAGGAAGGAAGGAAGGAAGAAAGAAAGAAAGAAAGAAAGAAAGAAAGAAAGAAAGAAAGAAAGAAAGAAAGAAAGAAAGAAAGAAAGAAAGAAAAAAGAAAGACAGACAACATGGAAATTCCTGGAGATTATTATGCTGAGTGAAATCAGCCAATCAGAGAAAGGCAAATATCACATGATGTCTCTTATATGTGGAACCTAATGAACAACATAAATGGCAAACGATATAGGTCCAGAGGCATGGATGCATGGAACAGACTGACAGACCTCAGAGGGAATGGGGGGAGAGGCAGTAAGAGATTAACCTAGGAACTTACATCATATAGACACAGACAATAGGGTGGTGAAGGCATGGTGAGGGCAGGAAACAGATGGAGGGGAGCTAGGGGGATGTGAGCACAAAGGGAACAATACACGGTTGAGAGAAGGGGAGCCTTGGAGCCCATCTGATGACCCCAGGAGGTGCTGAAGGAAAGTGGGGACCAGCAGTTGTGGGAACCATCTGCTGAGTGTGTAGATGTAGTTTGGGTGCAGGAAATGTCTCTCTGCCTGTTCCCTGTACTGGACTCTTCGCCTATTAAAAGTGTATTTTCTTAGGAGGCTGGGGGAAGGTCATTGGGGGGGAAAAAAGGATATATATATATACTACTATTTGTAATACTTTAAACAATAAAATAATTTTTTTTAAGTTTTCTCTCCCTGTTTGTCTTTCTGAGACGAACCCCCTTTTTTTCCCACCCCTGTGACTTGGGGGTCCATCCACATGGCTGGTGTGGGTCCCCACCTCTAGCACCTCATGCTCTCCCCCACTGTTTTGTAGTAAAATATTCTTTTTTAAAATTTTATTGGGGTGACGTTAGTCAACATGAACAAATAGGCTTCATGTGTGGATTACTAATTTACATAATCTGTAGACAGGACCATGTGCCCACCACCCAAAGTCAGATCTTCTCCCATCACCTCGTATTAGGACCCCTTTCTCCCCCTACCCCCTCCCTCTGGCAACCACCACACTGCTGTTTGTGTTCATATGTTTCAGTAGAGATCTCCATTCATGAGTTAAATCATATAGTTCTTAGCTTTTTCTGTCTGACTTATTTCACTTCGCATAATGTTCTCAAGGTCCATCCATGTTGTTGTAAATGATGCTATTTTATCCTTTCTTATGGCCGTGTAGTACTCCATTGCATATACAACTGAGTGGCCAGATGATGATGATCTCTGAACACATAATAACCTGGCCACTCAGTGTATATCCTATAGAATAAAAGGCTAATCTGCAAATAATTGTCCCCTCAACCAGGAGTTAGACCAGCAGGCAGGCTGGCCAACCACCCACGTCTCCCTCGCCTACCTCCTCTACGCCCCCTCCCTCCCCCCTCCCCCCCACCCCCCGCTGCTGGCCAAGCTGGCCGGAACCCATCCATGTATTATAACCACAGTGACACCGTCACTGCTATGAAGGGGACAGGCCCAATAACGTCACGTCCTGGAGGTTCACTGTGAAGTCCCCTCTCCCAAGAGCTCAGACCCAGAACTGACAGGAAATGTAAGCTCTGAGCCACAATTCTCTCCTTTTACACCTGGAGCCACTGATGCCTAGCCAGGGGAAGGGCGTGTCCAAGCCAGCGCCTCCACAGGTGCCTGAACCCCCACATGACTCAGCCTCTGTTCCCCATGGAGACACCACCACCTCCCCACAGAGACTTTGACTTACCCATCTGTGGGCCAAATGCTGTTGTGGGGATGGAAGGACCCTCAGGGCCTCCTGGGGATCAGGATGAAGTGTGAGGGTTTGGTGCTGCCTTCTCCCCACTTGAGCCCAGCTTCTCCTCCTCAGCCTGAGCCCCAACGTCTCCCTCTGTCATGCACCAGGCCTCTAATGTGTGTGTGTGTGTGTGTATGTGTGTGTGTGTGTGTGTGTGTGTGTGTGTGTGTGACTACAAAAACAATACCAAAAAAATCAGTGAAACCAAAAGACGGTTCTTTGAAAAGATAAACAACTTGGCGAACTTTTAGCCAGATAAGAAACAAAGATTTAAAAAATCAGAAATGAAAGAGGCTCAGTAACAACTGACAATACAGAAATACAAAGCATTGTAAGAAAATACTTTGAACACCTACATGCCAACAAACTGGACAACCTGGGTGAAATGCACAAATTCATAGAAACATACCTTCCAAAACTCAATCAAGAAGAATCACAGAACTTAAATAGACCATTAACAGCTAATGAAATTGACTAAAAAAAAAAAAATCCATAGCCCAGACAAATTCACAGGTGAGTTTTATCAAATACTCAAAGAAGAATTAAGCTGAAACTGGTTTGGCTCAGTGAATAGAGCATCGGCCTGTGAACTGAAAGGTCCCAGGTTTGATTCTGGTCAAGGGCATGTACCTTGGTTGCAGGCACATCCCCAGTGGGGGGTGTGCAAGAGGCAGCTGATCAATGATTCTATCTCATTGATGTTTCTAACTCTCTATCCCTCTCTCTTCCTCTCTGTAAAAAACCAATAAAATATATTTTTTAAAAAGAATTAACACCTATCCTCCTGAAACTAATCCAAAATATTCAAGAGGAAGTGACATGTCCAAGCTTTTTTTATGAGTTCAGTGTTATCCTGATTCCAAAACCAGATAAAAACAACTACAAAGAAAGAAAATTACAGGCCAATATCCCTGATGAGCATAGGTGCTAAAATCTTCAACAAAGTATTAACAAATCAAATCCCTTAATAAACTGAAAAGATCATACACCATGACCAAAGACTGTTGCGGGGATGCAAGGATGGTTCAATACTCACAAATTAATAAATTAATAAATGTGATGCACCGCACAAACAACATGAAGGATAAAAATCACATGATCATATCAATAGAATCAGAAAAAGCATTCGGCAAAATCCAGTACCCATTGATGATAAATTAAAAAAAAAAAATAACTCAGCAAAGTGAGAATGGAGAATTGCATGTATCTGGCCAATTTTCCCAACACCATTTATTAATGATCAAGAAATTAAAAATGGAACTACCATCAATCATTCCATTCTTTCACAAATATACTTTTAAAAGCCATTGTAGACCTCACAAATTCCTTTCCTTGCCCCCAGCTTGGACTAGACTCCTCTTCTCATTTTTCTTCTCTACGTGTGTTTGTGACTGACCACCCATAGGCGAAGACGATGTAACAAATCCATATAAGCCGTTTATCTAACATTTAACAGACAATATTAGAATTTAATTACTGTTGATATTTTATTTCTATTGACAGATATTGCACTCCTCTAGTCCACTGGTAACACGTGACACACAGTATTGTAGTATGATCCGACCAAACAGTTTGCTTCTTATATATCCCCTTTGAGTTAAAGACATCACGCCATGCCCTTGTGTGGTGATCACCACACCTCTGCCTCCCTCTCGCTTCCTCCCTTACAGACACTCTGAATGTGTGCAGGGGTCTCAAGAACGTTCTTTATTCTCTAGAATGTTCTCACTCCACCTCTTAGGTCTCCACCTACTCACACCGCCAATCCTTCAAACACAGTCTAGACATGGTCCCCAGTTGTTATCATATATTTTTTTTAATGTTCTCCTTTTTCAACAATGAGTTACAACATTGGCTTTAGAATGCCTGAATCTACTAATGAGAGTCCTCAAAATACAAGAATCTGGTCTCCTACACCACAGATGTATTTCTAGTACCTGGATAAATTCCTGGCAGGTGATTAGTAAATACTTGTTTATGGGCGAGTCAAAGGCAGAAAGAGAATTCCCTTTGGGGGAGGCTGAGGAAACAGGAATTGAACTGCAGATAGAGTCAGCCTGTTGAGGGTGGACTCAGAGTGGAAACCTAGTTCTGGCCTCTCTAAGCAGGACTTCCGACAAGGCAGAGAGTCCTGGGAGTCAGAAAAGACCTCAGATCTGGGCTGAGAGTCCCCAGAGGCCCATAGTCCTTCTGAGTTCTCATCATGGAAACACTCACACCCAGGCCCAGGGCAGGGCGGTCAGCTTGCTGTGGGTTCACAGCTCTGAGGGCCCGGAAGGATGGCAGCAGCTCCTGACCCACCACATCCTGTGCATCTCTGTTGTTCAGGCCCAGACCTCCTCCATCTACAAAGCAGGAGCCCTCAGAGCAGACGCCATGACATCCATCCTCTCTGCTCTTCTCTGCCTCGGTCAGTTGTGGACACAGAGAGGGGGGAGCAGGAGGGGACAGGGTGGCTATAACCTTTGTTCATGGGGAACCTCCAGCTCAGGCAGCTCGAGGAGATGGGGCCCTGAGAAGAAAGAATGAGCTACAATGTTCAGTGCAAAGGTCTCACAGACACTTTCTTGCAGGGCTGAGTCTGGGCCAGATCATCCACGTGAAGGCAGGTGAATCCTCCCCTGGCTCCTTGTCCTCCTCTTCCTTCACCGCTGTGGCTTTAGGAGGGAGCACACAGGTCCTGGACTGAGCTGGGGGATGAGGGTGGGGAAGGGCTTTGTAATGCATCTTTTGGTTTCCTTCCAGGGACCCTCCACAAACCCACTCTATCAGCTGAGCCAGGCTCTGTGGTCTCTTATGGGAGTTCTGTGACCCTCTGGTGTCAGGGGACCCTGGAGGCCCAGATGTTTCATCTGTACAAGGACGGAAAACCTGTGGTTTGGAACACACCAAGCCGAATGAAGCCTGAGGTCATGGGCCAGTTCTTCATCACACGCATGGCAGAGCATAATGCAGGGATGTATCGCTGTAACTACCTCAGCCCCACTGGCTGGACAGGGCACAGTGACCCCCTGGAGCTGGTGGTGACAGGTGAGAGGACACTTAGGTGTCCCAGCCTCAGGCTCTGCCCTCAGGAAGGGGGTCTGCTCTCAGGGTGTCTCCCTCTCACCAGCCCGGCCTTGGGGAGTATGAAGTCCATTTAACATGCAGTCTCTGTCTCTCCTAGGATACTACCATGAGCCCAGCCTCTCAGCCCTGCCCAGCCCTGTCGTGACCTCGGGAGGAAATGTGACCCTTGAGTGTAGCTCATGGCAGGGATTTCACAGGTTCATCCTGGTTAAGGAAGGAGATCACAGGCTCTCCTGGATGCAGGACACACAGCCGCGGCCCAGAGAACCATCATGGGCAAAATTCTCTGTGGGCCCTGTGACCCCCAGCCACAGGTGGACCTTGAGATGCTATGGCTGCTACAGAGAGAGCCTGCAGGTGTGGTCACCACCCAGTGATGCCCTGGAGCTCGTGGTCTCAGGTGAGTCCCATTGTTGTCTCACCCAAGGAGAGACAATATTATTTGGATCTTTGCTCTGAGGGGAGCCCCATGTGAGAGGGTGAGGTGAGTGGAGCGATGGGGCACATGAGTCAAAAACATAGAGACAGTGAGACCTGGACGCCAGGATGGGAGGGACAGCCCCTGTCATTCATGTCTCCTCTCCCCAGGTGAGTCTGGGAAGCCCTCCCTTCTGAGCCAGCAGGGCCCCATCGTGGCCTCTGGACAGAGCCTGACCATCCAATGTCGCTCTGATGTCGGCTATGACAGATTCGCTCTGCACAAGGAGGGGGGATGGGACCTCCCCCAGAGCCTTGTCCTGCAGCCCCGGGCTGGGCTCTCTATGGCCCACTTTCCCCTGGGCACTGTGAGCAGTTCCCACGGGGGCCGGTACAGATGCTACGGTGGATACAAGCTCTCCTCTGAGTGGTCGGCCCCCAGCGACCCCCTGGACATCCTGGTGGCAGGTGAGGAGCCAGTGGGCTCAATCAGACTCTGCACAGGCCCTGCTGGGGGTCTCAGGTGGTGAGGCCAGAATAAAAGTGCAGGCCCCTGGAATGGATACAGAGAGACAGGGAGTTGGAGGGGAGAGGGGAAGAGTCAGAGAAACAGAGACAGACAAAGAGGAGGGTCCTCAGAGAGAACAAGGGCAGGCAGCCCTTACCCTTCCTCCCTCTCTCCAGGACACCTGCCTGACAGACCCTTCCTCTCGGTGCAGCCAGGCCACAATTTGGCCTCAGGAGAGAACGTGACCATGCTGTGTCAGTCACAGAGCCCGAGGGACACATTTCTTCTGTCCAAGGAAGGAGTAGCCAATCCTCCCCTATGTCTGATATCAAAGCACCCAGCTGAGCAGAATCAGGCAGAGTTCTCCATGAGTCCTGTGACCTCAGCCCATAAGGGGACCTACAGGTGTTACAGCTCACACAGCACCTCCCCTTTCCTGCTGTCACTCCCCAGTGACCCCGTGGAACTCCTGGTCTCAGGTGAGGGGGCCTTGACCTTATCTTGCTGATATGTCACCTGATGTCCCTATCCCTGGAGATTCTGAGACAGTGCTGGGGCCCAGAAGTTTGCCACTGACAGGATATTCTGAAGTTCCTACCACTAATCCTTCCTCCATGAATCCTGGGTCCTTCGCTGTCAATTTAGTGGGATTTCTCAGCTGTAGATGTTTAGCCTTATGAGTTCTGTGTCTCTAGCAAGACACGAAACACACAGCACCAAATTATTTCTGCATTGAGATCATTGTTCTCCATCATCCTCAACTTGAGAAGTACAGCTCTTACCAAAGTCACTCAGAACAGGTTCTGAACTCAGGGATCATAGGAGGCTGAGGTCATCCAACGAAGAGCCCATGGAACCTGGCCTAGTAGAGACAGGCTCATGGAGGGACGGTGTAAAAGTCATCATCTGAGAAGTGGGGCATCTGAGAGCACAGGGCCCAGGTGGAAGGCTTCTGTATCCACAGGTCCTCACTCACACCTTCATGTCATGATTCTTAGGAGCAGCTGACACCCTCAGCCCATCACCAAACAACTCAGACCCCAAGATCAGTGAGTGGGAGAAACTCTCAGTTATGGGGTTGGGGGTAGAGGTTTCTGTCCTCTCAAAGGGAGGTGGGTCTCCTGGGTGGACAGCCAAGGTTCTGGATGTCATCCTAGTGTGACTTTGGTCCACTCTGACCTCTATGACCTCTTTGTCCACCTCCCACCCCTAAGACTACACGGTGGGGAATTCCATCCGGATGGGCGTGGCAGGCGTGGTCCTGGTGGTGCTTGGGGTACTGCTATTTGAGGCTCAAAACAGCCTGAGAAGAACCCAGGATGTGAACACAAAGGAAACACCACACTGTTCAGAGAGGGGGAGCCTTGGAGCCCATCTCATGATCCCAGGAGGTGCTGAAGGAAAGTTGGGACCATAGTTGTGGAAACTGTCTCCCAGGAATGTCCAGGGGAATACACATGATTTGGGTGAAGGAAATATTTGTGTGCTCCCTGGACTCTTCCTCCATTTAATGTCTACTTTCTCTCCCTGTCTTGGTTGACTTTCTGTGATGACACCCTCCCACCCCCCGGATTCTTCTCTCAACCCTTCACTTGAGGGTCCATCCCACATGATTGTGTGGGTACCCACCTCTAACACTCACACTCTCTCCCACATTCATGTAATAAAATGTTCTTTACATCTAATCATCATATTACCCGATGGGCATTATCGCTTCTTCATCTCTTCAGTTCACAGGGGTTAACCTGGGCTTCATAATGAAATAAATGGGCTAAATCAGATACAAGCCTGGGAATTAAAAATCCAACATGATACCCAAACCCTCTCTGGAACCACAGTCCTTCCTCTCCTCACCAGACGCCACCCCTGTCATTTCCCCAGAGCTGTCCCCACGTGGCATCAGCACATCAGTGTTTGTGGGGATGGTCTGGGGGAGTGCTGCCCTCAAAGCTCGTGTGTAAAATGCTCTGACTGGCAGAAATTGCCCATTTCTGAATTGACATAAAGTTAAATATTATTCAGCCACAAGAGAGGAGGAAATCCTGCCATTTGTAATGACCCTAAAAGACCTGGAGGGTGTTATGCTACATGAGGTAAATCAGACAGATGAAGACAGGTGCTGATTAATCGCACATACGTGTGGGGTCTGAAAAAGCCAAACGAGTAGAAACAGAAAGAATGATGGTTACCACAGGGAGTGGGGGGGAAAGGAGAGATGTTGGTAAAAGAGTATCAATTTTCAGTGATAAGATGGACAATTTGGGGGGCTAATGTACAGCATGGTGATTACAGTAAACAATGCTGTATCATATTACCCCCAAAGTACCTAAGAGATTGTATACTAAAGGCTCTCACCTCCAATAAAAAATAAAGGGAGCAATTATGTGACTTTTTAATGGAATTGTTAACTAGTTTTATATCCTTAACCATTTTATTCATTAGCTTAGCACCAGAATATTAAATACTATAGATGGAACAAAATAATTGTTTTGACTTCCACATGGCAGTGATCTATGTTAAAATCAATATGTGATTGTAGAGTTTAGGAAAACTAAACAGGACAGTTCAGAGATAAGGCTCAAGTCAGACCCTCAGCACCTGATATTTTTGGGTGAGGTGAGCTGGTCCCCTTCCTATGTAACTGCTACCTTGTGCCCTGCACACACAGTGGTGTGGGAACCCTGCCCACCACATTCTGTGAACTTGCCTCTCAAACTTCACCTTAAGATCTGAAAAATAAGTCATCAAAACCTCTGCTTTAAAAACATCCACAGGGAGTTCACCCCTTTTCCTGATGCAGGAAGAGAGCGAACCTGAAACCACAAAGTGAATTCAAAGTGGTCATTACAGAATCCACAGGTCAAGACAGCTCTTCTCTTTCAAGAGGTTGTGCTGACCCAGACCTGGCCCAGCCTTGACCAGGAATGTGGTGGGTACCTAGGAGAAGTTTCTTAAGACCATGGGCCACCTCCATCTCCCCTAATTCTGCCCTTTTTTGGATGTTGAACCTGAGAGGTACTGTGCATTCAGCACTGGATCATGGACAACTCCACCCCACCACCACCTTCAAACCCCCCCACCTCCAACCCCCCCACCCGCCATTTATAGGGCACCTAGCTATGTCTCTTTTCTAAAATCTCATCAATCTATAATAATAAAAGCATAAATATGCTAATTAGACCAGACAGACAAATGACCTTCCAGACGACCTTCCAGACAAAGCAGTGGTGGTGGGTGCCAAGGCAGAGGCAGTTAGGGGCAATAGGCAAGCAGGTGGGTGGTTAGGAGTTATCAGGGAGGCAGGTGAGCAATTAGGGGCAATGAGAAAGGGAGGCAGAGTAGTTAGGGGCAACCAGGCAGGCAGACAGGCAAGTGGTTAGGGGTGATCAGGCAGGCAAAGTGGTTAGGGGCGATCAGGCAGGCAGGCAAGAGAGTGGTTAGGAGCCAACAGTCCTGGATTGCAAGAGGGATATCTGACTGCCGGTTTAGGCCTGATTCCTGTGGGATCAGTCCTAAACCATCAGTAGGACATTCCCCAAAAGGTCTCAGATTGTGAGAGGGTGCAGGCTGGGCTGAGGGACACCCCCCCCCCCTTTGCAGGAATTTTGTGCACCAGGCCTATAGTTTCATATAAATGGGCAAGAATTATGAGTATATTATAATACTTACATATGTTTTATGTAGAATGTTTTCTAGGTCTTTATTTTTAAAGGGTTTACCTTCACTACAAGTATATTTTTAAAAAAATAGAAAACCTCATTGATGTTTCTCTCTCATCATTGATGTTTCTATTTTTCTCTCAACCCCTCCCTTCCTCTCTGAAATCGATTTAAAAATATATTTTAAAATAATAATAATTGAAATAAATTAATAAAGGACCAACACAAAAAATAATTTTCAGCCACTCACCCAAGGAGAGTTTGGGGTGGCGTGGCCACCAGGACCCAGTGCAAGAGCATCCAACACCACAACCACCATTCTTCTTGGGAGGAACAACAGACCCAGTCTCTGGGCTTCCAAGGCTCCACCCACATGACCACTAGGGGCTCCGCCTGCTGAGTCAGGGAACCATCCTGGGCAGACTCAGAGGTTGGGGACCCACACCCACCCTCTTCCCTGAAGTGCAAAGGGCACCTCCCCTCATGGGAAACGCAGTCACCCCAATATCCTGATGCCATCACAAGCTCTTTCAGTGCCTAAGCCTGGCAGTTCGCCAGCAGGTGGAGGGAAGCAGAAGCAGACCCCAAGGAGCCTGGAGACATTGGCTGACCCACTTCGGCTCCTGCGATGGTGAAAACGGGCCATGGAGCACAGCTTGGTTTTTCCCTCATGTAGACAAGCCCAGCAGAGGCAGTCGCATTCTGGGGGTCAGCTGTAGATTCAGATAGATAGGTGGGGGTCAGGAGCCTACAGCCCACATGAGTGGCTTCAAACATCCTCAGAGCAGATCCAACAAGCTTCACCATCTTCTCCTCTCCCGGCCATTTCATTTCAATTTATTTTCTACTAGAGGCCTGGTGCACAAAAATTCGTGCACTTTGGGGAGGGGGGGGTCCCTCAGTCCATCCTGAGCCCTCTCACAGTCCAGGAGCCCTCAGGGATGTCCAACTGACAGTTTAAGTCTGCTTCTTGGGGAAGCAGGCCTAAGCCACAGTTTGACCTCCCTCTGCAGGAGGCAACTGATGGGCCAATAGGGGGGTGGTTTTTAACCAGCTGGCCCCACCTCCTGATTGCCTTTCCACCACTGCTGGTCCCTGTCCCCTGATTGCAGTTTCTCCCTCTGCCCACTGGCACCTGCGTTGGCTGGCCTGGCACTGTCCACTCACTGGCCCCAGCCCTGCTAACCAGTCATTCTGCTATTTGGTTGATTTGCACATTAGGCTTTTATTATATAGGATTGTTCATTTTCGTTTTTCTTCTCCTTTTTCTTTAAAACTTCATACTTCTCTGTTTCCTTTTATAATTCTATTTCCTTCTCTCTCTCTCTCTCTCTCTCTCTCTCTCTCTCTCTCTCTCTCTCTCTCTCTCTCTCTCTCTCCCTCCCTCCCTCCCTCTCTTCTTACACTTTTTTCTGGCTTTGTTTTCTTAATATGTCTTTCTCCATAGGACTTGGCTGCACGTGGTAGGGGCCAACCTGTTATCTAAGGCCCATTTGTTCATAGCATAGGACTCAGGGGCAGGTCAGCAACCTCCCTCAGGTTTCCTGGGCTTCACCTCCACCTGCCTTCACCTGTCAGCCAGCTGTCCATCTTAATCACTCAACTGTGTGTTTCTGAAAGTGCTTCAGTGGAATGGGGAGTCTAAACCTCTGGGTCTCCCTGAAGGGGGAGGTGCCATTCAGATTTCAGGGAAAGGGATGGTGTGTTTCCTGTCCCAGAGTTACTCTGCTCAGCATGTCCCGGAATATCTTCCTGCCCTCGGCTAGGTGGAGACCTACTCATGCAGCCCATTGGGAACCTGGAGTTGCTCAGCTCTCCCGTGAGGGGGGGAAGCACCAGTCAGGGTCCTGGGTTAGTGGAGCTCTCCGTCCCACCCCCATGTCAGTGACTGACACTTCCTGAGACTGTTCAAACCCATTGGCTTGGCCTCTGCGGCTGTCTCCTCAGTAGAGATCAAGATGTAGGGTGTGCATATCACATGATCTCACTCATTTGTGGGTTATAATGAACAATACAAACTGGTGAACAAAAACAGATCAGAGGCAGAGAAGCATTGATTAGATGCTCAAACCTCAGAGGGAAGGCAGGGGAGGGTGAGGGTAAGGGGGAGAGATCAACCAAAGGACTTGCAGGCATGCGTAGAAGCCTAACCAATGGACACAGACACTGAAGAGGGTGAGGGCATGAGCCTGCAGCCCACATGGGCGGCTTCAGACATCCTCAGAGCAGATCCAACAAGCTTCACTGTTTTCTCCTTCCATAATGATAAAAGCGTAAATATGCTAATTAGACCAATGACCTTCAGCTGAATGATCTTCCGGATACCTTCCATTTGAAGCCACGGTGGAGTGGGTGGGAAATGAGGGGTTAAGGACACATATGTAATAACCTTAATCAACAAAGAAAAAAAAAGATGCAGGGTGTGGTAGGCAGGGTACCTGAGGGGTGGGGGCAGCTGTGTCACAACCAAGAGCTAGGTTTTTTTCTTTCCCTGAGCTGTGGCATCTGGAATGGGCCTGAGCCTCTCTGGAAAAAAGCTGTTTCATGGGTGGTGCGGGGAGTGGGGAGCCAACTGCAGGTCTCCCAGGCACCTCTTTTCCATGTCTCCCCCCAATGCTTCCTACACCGGCCTCTCCTCAGGCACCTTCAGCCCACACCACCCTCCCTCCACTGAAGCCTCAGGTGAGGAGCTGCAGATGAAAATTCTGTGCTCTGGCGGAAACCAGTTTGGCTCAGTGGATAGAGCATCGGCCTGCAGACTGAAGGGTCCCAGGTTTGATTCCAGTCAAGGGTATATACAGGAGAGGGTGTGCAGGAGGCAGCTGATTGATGATTCTCCCTCATCGATGTTTCTAGCTCTCTGTCCCTCTCTCTTCCTCTCTGTGAAAAATCAATAAAATATATTTTAAAAAAAAAGAAAAATTCTGTGCTCTGGTGTGTATGTGTGTGGGGGGGCGGGGGTTTGTCTGTTTTAATAAAGAAAAATTTTTAAACTGTAAATAAACCAAGTATTATCAACAAATGAACTGGCTAAACAAATCAGCATATCCATACAATGGAATACTATTCAGCGGTACAAATAAATGAACTGTCATTTAAACAAAACAAAACAAACAAAACAAAAAAACAACAACAACAACCCTGCAGTAATATGTCTGACCCGGTTGGCCAGCAGCCCTGCCAGATGTTACACAGCTGGATGGTACACGGTCTCAGTTCTGGTGCTTCGGGCTGTGGAGCCCAGCCTGGGTTCCAGGCCCTGATCTTCTCACCCACCCACAGCTGTGAGACCCCCTCCTCATCCTTGGCCTATCCCCCATGAGAGCTGGGGCAGCCCTTCTCATGGCCTCACCTTTCCTGCTGGTCTCAGGTGTTTGCTGTCCTTCCTTGAGGTATCTGTCTCCTCCTCGGATGGACCTCAGTTGATAATCGTGAGTGAACGTGCCCCATGTCAATATTCCCAGCCTGGCCCCGGGAGGAGGTGCATAAAGATCTGCCTATTCGTCTGCCATCTTCTCCGGCCAACCAGAAATACATTTTTAAAAGGAAAATAAAATGTCTCCCTCTTGACCTGGTGTCTGTCTCTCTCCCTCTCTCTCTCTCTCTCTCTCTCTCTCTCTCTCTCTCTCTCTCTCTCTCTCTCTCTCTCTCTAACACTTCCCTTTAGCGACTTTCTTGTTCTATTAATAGCACCCCCTTTCTCTTCTTCTGCTTCTTTCAAAACGTCTGAGTCACTTCTGCTTCCTCCGCAGCCCCTTCTCCCCGGGGCAGGACTCTACTCCTCACACTGGGTTTTTTTCTGCAAACACTGGTGAGAGGAAATTCAGGCTAAATGCAGGGAGAGCTGTGAGGTCTGCGGACTGTCCGCCCGGAGCAGGTCTTTCTCCTCCTGGCGCTCTTTCCCTCTCTGTGTCAGTCCTGCTGTGGAGGAGCAGGGTCCCGAGACCGCAGGGGTGCCATTGGGCAGGTGTCACGAGACAAGGCACCCATGGGCAGGTAGGAGACCCTGCGGGGACCCTGAAGGCAACCTCCTCACACCACTTCTCCTCCAAACCCATAGAAAAGCTGGGCTACTGGTCCTCAAACACGTGGTCCCAGTCCAAACAAACAAAAGAATCCTCAGTGTCAGGAAAGCAGGGTAACTCACAGAAATGAACAGAAGCCATTGGGAGTGGCATTGGGGGGGTGGGGAGGAGGGGAGGTTCCAGAGAAGGGACTACAGGGCCGACTTCACCAAATCTATCCCCCAGAGTGACACTGGGGTCCTGGTGTGAAGTCCCTGCATTGCCACACCCCAAGTTGGGGATCATGTTGGTGTTAAATTGCAGGTGATGACCTCTGGTTGACATTCTCCTGCCCTGATGGAAGGTGTTTGGATGTGTTTCTTCTTACTCTTTCCCTGGGAAAAATGTGTGTAATCTTGGGGGGAGGGAGGGAGGTGCCTGGATTTCACAAGTGTTTAGAATAAATCGCCAGGGAAACTCCCTGCACAGGACTTTGGATATGGACAATTTTCTAGGGAGAGAGAAATGAGAGAAAAAGGAAGAGGAGGAGGAGGAGGAGAAGGAGGAGGAGCAGGAGGAGCAGGAGGAGGAGGAGCAGGAGGAGCAGGAGGAGAAGGAGGAAAAGGGAAACATCCATCAGTTGCCTTTTATACAAGCCCCCACCTGGCATCAAACCAGCAACCTTTCAGTGCACAGGATGTCGTTCAACCAACTGAGCCACCCCTGCAGGGCCTGGGACAATTTTGGATAACACAGTCGTTGTATTTAATCCATATAGAGCAAGCATGTCAAACTCAAAGGCTAACACAGACCAAATAAACAAGGCTTAAGTGTATGTGGGCCACAAGAAAAACACACACAAAAGCTTCCATTTTCATAGAAATGTAGGTTTATCTCGATAGAGACATGCTGAATACAATGCATGGTGAAATAAATGAGTCATCATTAACATAAAATAATGGAACATTTTAATAAAAAAAGTTTTTTATGATTTTAATTTAATTAATTTATTTATTTATTTTTACATATTTTATTGATTTTCCCCCTCCCTCCCTCCCACACATCCCCTCCCTCCCCAGAGCTTTATGTCCATTGGTTGTACTTATATGCATGTATACAAGTCCTTCAGTTGATCTATTATCTCCCCCAGTTTCTCCTCCCCTCCCCGCTAAAATTTGACAATCTGCTTGTTGCTTTACTGTCTCTGTATCTATCTTTTGGTTCATCAGTTTATAATGATCTTTATTATCCACAAATGAGTGAGGTCATGTGGTGTTTCTCTTTCATTGATTGGCTTATTTCACTCAGCATGATGTTCTCCAATTCCATCCAGGTTGCTGCAAATGATGAGAATTCCTTCTTTTTTATGGCAGCATAGTATTCCATTGTGTAGATGTACCATGGTTTTTGGATCCAATCATCTGCTGACGGGCACCTAGGCTGTAAATTAATATTTTTTCTTGAACAAGAACTTACCAGACACTGAATAACTGCACAAATGAATAAGCATAATGCAAAGAAACCTATTTTTTTTGTTCCCCGAAAGTGAAATATTTCCTGATGTGCACACCAAACAAATCAGTTCAAGACTAATGATGTGACCATCAGCTGCTAAATATCAGCATTTCATTCTTTTTTTCATTTTTTTTTTCTGATTTCTATTCCATTGTGCATGCATGCCACCTCTTTCTTACCCATTTGTCTATGTAGCTAAAGATTTGTTGCAAACCTTGTTTTTAAATTCTTTGTTTCAGTGTATGTGCCATTGATGGCAGTATGACAGATATCCCCTATTTGTCCTTCACATACCCCCTCCACCCAAGCCTTCAATTCTTGATATAACAGCTTAGGACATTGATTTTTAAAGGTTTTTTATTTTCTAATATATTCATCATTGTTTTTAATTTCATCATTTCATAGGCCTGTTGTGAAGTATTTAGATGATCATTTAATCTAAAATGTGCATTTATGTTTGACTATCAAAAACTCTGTTGCTTTATTTCCAGAATGGAGGGATATTGGTTATCTTTTTCATTTTTATTTTTTATTGATTTCAGAGAGGAAGGGAGAGGGAGAGAGCTATAGTAACATAAATGATGAAAGAGAATCATTGATCGGCTGCCTCTTGCAAGCCACCACTGGGGTTTAAACCCACAACCCAGGCATGTGCCCTTGACTCGAATCAAAGCTGGGAGCTTTAAGTCTGCCAAACTGACTAGGGCTAGGTTATCTTTGACTATAGAACCAGGTGACTCTCAGAGGGTCCCAGGAGCTGCTGGGGGTCCACATCTGGTCTCCAGGCTGGCTGGGGTCACCAGCTGAGTGTCCATGGGGTAAGTACCCATGGCCTCTGGGGTCCCTTCAGGCCCCCTCCCTGGACTGTGGGGTCTGGGTCCTTCCTGGGCTAGTGGAAGGCTAGAGCAGCGTACAAGCTGGGCTCTTCTGGGGGCTCCTCTGATGAGGAGGAAGGGGATGCACTTGTCTGCCGTCTAAGGGCCAAGAGGTTCAGCTGAGCATAGGTCACATCCTGGGGGCCATTGGGTGGAGCAGCCTAAAGCAGGGAGAGAGAGAGATGGGTGACACCTGGTTGGGGTTTTGACAAGCCTCAGGGCCTGGGGAGAATGGAACCCACCTGAGTGTCCTCTTCTGCTTGTCTGCCCTTCTGGTCCAGCCACCCCCCACAAGGGGAGGAAGGAGAGGTGGCCATTCCCAGTGCAGGTCTTGGTCTTGAGCGGTTCACCTGGGCATACGTCACTCCCTGAGGGCCGCCATCCTGCCTGGTCTGAAGGAGTCAGTGAGACAGAACAGCATCTCCTTGATTTCACAGTAGAAATCCTCCTGTCAATCATCCTCATGTCGCCAGAGAGATGGTTTAGATTTAGACCTTAAATAGACCAGGTCCCTCTCCTGTTGGAACCTGCAGGGCCTTCTAGAGCCTCGGGGCCTCTGGGTGTTTCTGTGGTTCTGACTCTCATCCTAACGCGCTCTCTCTCGCTCACTGGGCTCCAGCCTCATGGCTTCTCCTCCTGAAGAAGCAGGTCCTGCCTCAAACCTCTGCTTCAGCTCTTTCCCTGCCCACCCTCCCCCACCATGCACTCTCCCCCCTCCTCTTGCTTTTTATTCCTTCACAGCACTTTGCTCTCTGGGACACTGTCTGCTTGTTTGCATATTGTCTCCCTCGCCCACAGGTGAGCTGAGGGCTGCACCTTGGCCCCTAAATGGACTGGTAAACAGTGAGCCCCTCACATCTGCGGGGTGAATGAGTGAAGGGATCCTAGGACTTGTGGGTGAGTCGCTTATTCCTGTCTCCTCCTGAGACCTGGGACTGCACAAGGTCAGACAGGGGACGAGGGGCCAGCGAAGGGGGTCCCATAGGAGGGACTATGGGGTCACAAGGAAACCAGGAGGAGTAAGTCACAGCAGGATGACCTGGGGGCCCAGAGGAGAAATCAGTGTGGATGCTGCTGAGAAGCTGGTGAGGTGGAACAGGGAAGGGTACACTGGATTAAACTGGGAAACAGAAGGTCCTTAGTGGCCTGGACAGGAGTAGGGGTCTCACCCGAGGGTCCAGCTCCATGCTCTCCCCAGGCTGCAGGTCCTTCACAGAAGCATCTGCTGGGGGAGAACAGGGGGTGTCTCCTGGCAGGTCCCCGAGACTTGAGGTCTGCAGACCCCGCCTGCTCCCAGATGGGCCACTAACCCAGGGTGAGGTGAGGCACCAGGTCACACAGTGTGGGTCTCAGTCCTTCTCACCCTGACTCCCAGCCTCCCAGCCTAACCCTCCCCATCGCCTCCTGAAATCCCTGTGCCCCCTTCTCCAGGGCAGCTGTCTCTTCCTCTCACAGAGGGGCTCCTGCTGGGTGTCAGCAGCTGGGCCTCAGCTGGCGGAAAAGACAGGAGTGTTAGGGGCAGAGATGAGCCATGGGTGGTGGAGTTCTAGGGTCTTTGGGTCAGGAATTACATGATCTGCAGGCCTCTGTCTTTGGCCTCTGGGTGTGCGGTCCCTTCAGGAGGTTGGACATGAGCCCCTCTCTGGGCTGGTCCAGAGGGTCCATGTCAGCCCTGGGTGGTTAGGAGCCCCTCCCCAGGGATTCTACTGGAAAGAAGGAAACCCTGACACTCACTTGTGTGCATATTTCATGAGACTGAACGTCTGGGCTTACACTCTTTCTAGGGTTTTTTTTTTTTTTTTCATATTCTGGAGAAGTCTTTTTTCAGCTGACCTTCTCAATCCATTTGGTTTCCTGTGGCAGGTGCTCTGAGCACCCCGTTGTGTGGCCCAGGTCACCCCGCCCCCTACTCACCTGAGGTCCTGCATTTGCTCTGACGCCGGTGTCGGAGGTAGAAAAGAAGGAGGGAGAGCACCAGGACCAGGGCCACTGAGACCCCGATCAGGATGTTCATGTTCCATGAGGGACCTTGGACACAATTGATGTCATAAATGAGCCAGTGAAGCCTTTGAATGAGCATCTACTGTGTGTGAGGCACGAGCTGGGGTCTCACTCATCTCCTCTCACCTCATGCACCAGGGATTGAAGACCCCACCACCCACCTCACTGAGGCTCAGAGAGATTAACCACGTGCTCCAGGTCACCCAGCCTGGACGGTGCAGGGCTGGGACTGGAACCCGGTACTGTGGGTTCCCTGGGCTGTCCTCACACTGACCCCAGGGGTCACCAGCTACATATCCACGTCTCATCTGGAGCTGAGGTTCCTTCCTCATTACCTGCCCCCAGCACAGCACAGACAGGAGGGCTGGGTGTGGGGTGGACTCTGAGTCTCTCCTGGGTCCATCTCCCCACTGCAGGGTCCTGACGTCACTTTGGGAATATCAGGGTGGACTGGGGGATCTGCCTTCCTGAGCTCTGTGAGGCCCTTATGTCACCTCATCTGCCAGCAGCCTGTGAGCAGGATGGGACCAGGGTTGAGCAGACAGGAACCCAAAACTCAGATTGGAGAAGGGACTTTCCAGCCCCACAGCAGGAGCAGCAGAGCCAGGAGCTGACCCAGGGCTGATCCACCCTGTTCCCTCCTCTGAGCTGAGCCTGAGCTGAGGGAAAGGATTGGGTGCCCAGACCCTTGTCCCTCCCTGTACAGTGTCACCGTCACTGAGACAGAGGGGACAGGCCCCATAACATCACCTCCTGAGGACTTCCCTATGAGACTCTCTCCCAGGAAGTAAGGGCCAGGACCACCAGGAAATCTAAGCTGTGGACAAGGAATCTCTCCTTTTACACCTGGAGACACTGAGGCCCTGACAGGGGAAGGGCGGGTCCAAGTGAGAGACATCAGAGTTGCCTGAACCCCCACATGGTTCAGCTGCTGTCCCCGAGAAGGCTCCAAACACCTCCCCACAGAGCCACTCACTTACCCGTCTGTGTGCCTGACTCTGTGAGTGGGAGAGACTGATCCTCAGAGCCTCCTGGGTTCAGGACTGGACAGGAGTGGGAGGGGGCTGTCATCTCCCCTCATGAGCCCACCTCCTCCTCCTCAGCCTGCCCCCCCACATCTCCCTCTGCCATGACCCATCACCTGCCTCAGATCCTGAGATTCCCAGCCCCCACCAGGACACATGCCCGTCCTTGAGGATCTGGGTCACACAATCCCCTGACAGACTCTCGGGACTTGCTTCGAAAGGTAGGGGGGTAGAGGGCGGGGGAAGGCTGTGCTTACTATGTGCAGAGCTCCCCAGTACTCACCAGCTGTGGAGGTGGGCCCTGTGGGTGGGGGGCTGGGGCCTCCAGAGGGTCCTGGAAATAACAATAGAAAGGGGTGAGGCTGGGGCTCACTCTGGAGTCTGCAAATCACTCAGTTTCTTCTCCACCATCTGCTCTGTGACCCCCGAAGACACTCCCTCTGCTCACTTAACATCTTCCCAAGCCAGTTAATGGGGGAAAGTCAGCAAAAGTAAGAGCATCTCTGAGGGCAGATTTCTGCTGGGTGACCAATACTCAGACCCTCTCTCTCACCCCAGCTCATATGTCTCCTGGGGGAGGGACCCTCAGCTGTCTGTGCTCAGAGAGGCTGAGATCAGGGGCTCCTCACCTGACACCAGTAGATCCAGAGGGTCACTAGGGTAAGACCACTCCTGGGGATGCTTCCGAAAATTGCCATAGCATCTGAACGTCCATCTGTGGCCGGGAGTCACAGGGCCCACATGGAACAGGGCCTGGGACACTCCACTGGGCTGTGGTTGTGAGTCCAGGGCCCAAGAGAGCCTGTGATCTCCTTCCTTAGTCAGAATAAACCTGTGAAATCCCTCCCTTGAGCCACACTGGAGGGTCACGTTCCCTCCTGAGGGCACGACAGAGCTGAGCAAGACTGAAAGCCTAGGTTTGCTGTAGAATCCTAGGAGAGGAGGAGGCAGAGTGTTAAATTAGCTCATACCTCCCTTATGTCCCCAGGGCTGGGCTGTGAGAGGGAGACACCCTGAGAGCAGACCCCCTTCCTAATGGTAAAGCCTGAAGCTGAAACCCCTGGGAGTCCTCTCACCTGTCAGCACCAGCTCCAGGGGGTCACTGTGCCCTGACCAGCCCATGTGGCTGAGGTAGTTACAGGTATATCTCTCTGAATAATTTCCCGTAATGAGGAACTGAGCTCTGTCTCCAGGCTCCAGCGATTTCTGTGTGTCCAAGTGCCGAGTACTGCCATCCCCATACAGATGGTACTCCTGAGCCTTCAGGGTCCCCCGACACCAGAGGGTCACAGGGCTCCCATAACGGATCACAGGGCCTGGGTCAGCCCAAATGGTGGGTTTGGGGAGGGTCCCTGGAAGGAAACCAGAGGCTGCATTACAAAGACCTTCCCCATCCTCATCCCCAGCTCAGCCCAGGATCCTCTCATTTTAACACCTCAACCCAGCACTTCTGTGTTCCTCTTGAGCCCCAATGATGAAGGAAGAGGAGGGATGGATCCTGGGGATAACTCACCTGCTTTCACATGGGTCCTCGGGCCCAGACACAGCCCTGGAAGAGAAATCTTATGAGATATTTCCACCCGGAAGTCTGAGTTGAATCCCTTCCCATAACGTTCCGATCCATTCTGGCTGCCTGAGCCTGAGGTTCCCCATGAGCCACAGAGTATGAGCCTCCCCTTCCCGCTTGCTCCCCGTCCCCGTGTCCACAACTGACCAAGGCAGAGAAGAGCAGAGAGGATGGATGTCATGGCATCTGCTCTGAGGGCTCCCGCTCTGCGGATGGAGGAGGTCTGGGCCTGGAGGACAGAGACGCACAGGATGTGGCGAATCAGGAGCTGCTGCTGCCCTTCCGGGTTTTTACAGCTGGGGACCCACAGCCAGGGGACAGCCCCTTCTCTGGCCTGGCTCTGTATTTTTCCATGATGAGAGCGCAAGAGGACTCCAGGGCCTCTGGAGGCACAGCCCATATCTGGAGTCGCTTCTGACTCCCAGGATTCTCTGCCGGGTCTGAAATCCTTCCGCGGGACCCAGGTCCTTGTCCTGACTTGATCCTCTCAATAGAAGTTATTAATTTCCTCTCACACACAGAATTGACTTTTGGTCTTTGACCTATTCATAAACATATTTATTGATCACCTACGACCTGCCCAGTATTTGTGCCTGAACCAGAAATACATCCGTGATCAATCCAGGAGACCCATCGCCTATATTTTGGGAATTTTTCTTGGCAGAGTATGGGCTTTCAAAGGCTAATATTGCAACGACTTTACTTACAAAGGAGAAATGAGAGAAAATGTGGGACCATCTGGGGACCATGACTAGACTGTGGTTGATGGGGATGGCTGTTTGAAGAGGTGGAGTCCGAAGAGGTGGGAGTGAGAATATTCTTGAAGAAAGGAACATTCTAGGGAACCCTACAGACATAGTCTCTGGACAACAGTAAGAGATGGTGAGGTGGTGTCTGGTCATAGGCATGGTCTACCTCCCCACGCCCACCCCACCCATGCAAGGATGTGGGATTCTGTCTATAAGGCAAAAGGAATGCATAGGGATGGACTGGGATGCTCAGCCTGAGTTATGAAGATTATATGGGCCATGTATTACAAACCAACCAGAGAAATGAAATGTGTGTCAATAAAAAGGTAACATCAACTCTAACTGAGCTCCAACCTTGTGTTTCCAGCCATGCTCCATGAATGTCTTACATGGATTTAACCACACAATACTTGCATAGCCCTGAGCAGTCACAACACATGTGCATGGAAGAGAAATGAGAAGAAGGAACATCAGTCTTGCTTCTAGCCCTGTGCTTTAAGCTGTAGGCTTGGGAAGGAGCTTGCTAGTCCTACAGAACTCTAAGAAAGCAGCAGAGACATGTTCAATAGTAGACAGTGTGAGTGTGTGTGTACTATGTGTGTGCATCAGTGTGTGGGGGGGGGAGGGGGTTTCATGCACCTGTCTGGTTGAATGAAGCAGAAGTGAGAGCTGAGATTGGAGGGTCCCATTTGGATGATCATGAATAGCCTTCCGTTCAGAAAGAAGAGTCTGGGTTCACCCTGAAAACAGTGAGAACCATGGAAGGGTTTTGAGCAGAAAATGGACAGATTCTGAAATGAGGTCAGATGCCTATGTGGAGGGTGAACTGGAGAGGGGAGTGAGGGTGTGGAGCTCAGATCTCAGGACGGTGGTGGAGGTGACAGCTGCTTTGGGGTGTGTGAAGGTGACCTCCCTCCCTGCCTTCGTGACTGCGGAAATAAAGGCGTCCTAAGGACAGTGAGCCCAGGGGTGGGGAGGGAGGAGCCTGGGCCTGCCCAAGATGCATCTGCTCCCACAGGAAGCTCAGTGCCTCCTCCTGGCCCTGGGATGCAGGTCCTACATCTCACTCAGGTTCCCCCTGACTCTCTGTCTCTGTGAGCAGCTGGATTTCTCCATGTCTTGGGGTCCAATCATTTGAGTCATTGTTACCCCTTCAGAGCACCTTTGAGGCTGGATGTCACCCTCCTCTTCAAAATGTGGAAAACTTCCAGGTTTCAGAAAAAAAATGACATTCATGAGAGACCTGTCCCAAGGCAGTAACACACAGAGAGACACACTTTAAATAACTATTGTGGCTCTACCACAGCCTGAATGGTTGGGGGACACTTGAGCAGCCTGCTTCCTCTCTTGGTCTCACTTCCCCCATTTGTAGACCCGTGTTCCAAACACCACTCCTACAAATGTGGTGAAAATTCACCCTATCTGAGATACAGGGCAGTGGAAACCAGCCTTTCAGGTTTAAGTGGAGCTGGTGGCGGTTTGAGAAATTGAAAACTAGAGACATCACATCCAAAGTAGCAGGAGGAAGACTCCTCATGTGGAGTCACCTGAATCATGACAGACCCTTGATGTGCAGTGGGAGGGGGCAGGGATCAAGGTCTTTCCATCAGGTGGTGCTGTGCCAGTTGGTGAGTCTGTGGGACACAGTGAATTTTCATGCCTACTTCATGTCTAATCTGTCATATTTAGTTTTCTAAACTCTACAATCATATATTGATTTTTTAAAATAATTTTATATTTTATTTCTTTTTTAATATTTTTACTGATTTCAGAGAAGTGAGAGGAAAGAGAGATAGAAACATCAATGATGAGAGAAAGCCATGGTCTTCTGCAGGCCTCCAACCAGAGACCGAGCTCACAACCCAGGCATGCTCCCTGGATCGGAATTGAACCTAGGACCCTTCAGTCTGCAGGCCGGCACTCCATTCTAGGGAAATATATTTTATTGATTTTTTACAGAGAGGAAGGGATAGAGAGAGTTAGAAACATTAATCAGCTGCCTCCTGCAACCCGCCCCCCTCCACTGGGGATATGCCCAAACCAAGGTACATGCCCTTGACTGGAATCAAACCTGGGACCCTTTAGTCCGAAGGCCAACGCTCTATCCACTGAGCCAAACCGCCTAGGGCTATTTCTTTTATAACAAGCTGTTTTTTGTTTTGTTGCTCATCTTCTTCATGCTCAACACACCAAGAGGATAAAAGATATTAGATAAAACATACTTGTAGTGAAGGTAAACCATTTTGAAATTTTAGACCGAGAAGAGACTCTACATAAAACGTATGAAAGTCGCATGCTGATATTTCTATGCCCCTTCTGTAAGAAATTGAAGGGATATGAGAAAGAGACATTTCTAGGCGCCCAATGGATCCAGTGAGGCGCTGTCCAGGACGCAGTACTGAATTCACACCACCTCTCAAGATTAACATACTAAAAGGGCAGAATTTGGGGAGATGGTTGGTGGTCCATGGTCTTAAAATAAACCTCCTAGATAAACACCCCCATTCCTGGTCAAGGGAAAGCAGGTCTTGGTCAGCACGACCTATTGAAAGGAGGTGAGCCCTAACCAGTTAGGCTCAGTGGATAAAACGTCGGACTGCGGACTGAAGGGAACCAGGTTTGATCCTGGTCAAGGGCATATATCTTGGTTGTGGACACATCCCCAGTAGGAGGTGTGCAGGGAGCAGATGATTGATGTTTCTCTCTCAATGATGTTTCTAACTATCCCTCTCTCTTCCTCTCTGTAAATATAAATATAGATATAGACATAGACATAGACATAGACATAGACATAGACATAGACATAGACATAGACATAGACATAGATATAGATATAGATATAGATATAGATATAGATATAGATATAGATTGAAGAAAGAAAAAGGTGAGCTGTCCTGACTTGTGGATTCATGATGACAACCTTGAATTTTCTTTGCAGGATCAGGTTGGTGCTGTTCACCCATCAGGAAAAGGCATAAAATCCCAGTGGAAGATATTGTTCTAATATATTTTTATTGATTTCAGAGAGGAAGGAAGAGGGAGAGAGAGATAGAAACATCAATAATGAGAGAGAATCTTTGATTGGCTGCCTCTTGCATGTCCCCTAATGGGGATGGAACCCAAGACCCGGGCAGGTGCCCTTGACCAGAATGGGACCTGAGACCCTTCAATCCACAGTCTGACGCTGTATCCACTGAGCCACACCAGCTAGGGCCCAGTGGAAGCTTTTACAGCAGAGTCTCCAATGACTTATTTTTCAACTGTTAAAGTGGCATTCATCAGACAAGTTCACAGGATGTGGTGGGCAGGGTCCCCACAGAGCACAAGATGCCTGTTACACAGGATACCAACTCTTATCACCCCAAAAATAGCAGGTGCTTGAGGGTCTGACTTGAGCCACATCCCTGAACAGGCCTCTTGTCTATACTGACATGTTTAGTTTTCTAAACTCTACAATCACATGTTGATTTTTAAAAAATAATTTTTACATTTGACACTATCACAGATGGTCCCCATTTTCTGCCCATTTGCCCACCTCTACCCAACCCATGCCTGCCCCTCCCTTGTCCTTCACCACACTGTTGTCTGTGTCCATGGGCTATGCATGTATGTGTTTGCCTAATATCTTCATCTTCTGTCATCCAATCCAAAAGGCAGTTTGATTCTGCATTTTGACAAGAAAATAAAATCTACAAGATCTGTTTTGTTTTTGTTGTTTTATTGAAATCATCTCTGGTTTATGTGTCAAAACTCAGTTGAGAGAGAGAGAGAGAGAGAGAGAGAGAGAGAGAGAGAGAGAGAGAGAGAGAGAGAAAGAGAGAGAGAGAGAGAGAGAGAGAGAGAGAGAGAGAGAGAGAGCGCTCATTATTGGTGTATAAAAATGCCATTGATTTCTGGATAATTTTATATCCTACTACTTTGCTGAATTCAATTAATTCCAGTACCTTTTTGGTGGGAGACTTTAAGGTTTTCTGTGTGCAATATCATGTCATCTGTGAATAATGAGAGTTTTACTTCCTCCTTTCCAATTTGGATGCCATTTTTTCTTCTTCTTCTTGACCGATCAGGGTGGCTAGGACTTCCAGCACAATGTTGAGTAAGAGTGATGAAAACAGACAACCCCGTCCTTTCCCTATTTTTAGTGGAAGTTGTTTTAGTGTTTGCCTATTGAGTACGAAGATGGCTGTAGGTTTGTCATATATGGCCTGTATGGTAGTGAGGTATGTTCCCTCTATTCCCACTTTGCTGAAAGTTTTTATCGAAAATGTGCGCTGGATTTAGTTTATTGATTTTTTTGTTTTTTGGTTTGTTTGTTTGTTTGTTTGCTTGTTTTTTGCACCTATTGATAAGATTGTGTGCTTTTTCTATCCTTCATTTTGTTTATGTGACGGACGCATCACATTTATTGATTTGTGAATATTGTACCAACCAT